TCTGCATTTCAACAAAAAAAGAACAAAATAAAAGGCACAGAAATTATATGCCAACATAAAAAGTAACACAAAAGCAAACAGCGACATAAACAAGTTAACTGAGCAGCTTTTGTGCCTGTTGTTGTACCTGTTGTTGTTTCTATTGTTGCTGCTGCCGCTGCTGCCGCTGCTGCTGTTATTGGTGACGGCGTATGGCAGGCACGTTAGCGAGGCAGCTTCCGTTTCCGTCGTGGCCAAAAAACAATCCACCCATATGACAACTGCCGCTGTCACCGGGCTCTGCCACTGGATCTGGCCATGCATGCCAGAGCCGTAGCTTTGAATGCGCCGCAAGGTGGCGCACATGTGCCATGTCTGTTTTTGAGATTTGCACCTGGGCTGCCAGCCCACTGGCCGCAGGCCCTAGCCCAGTCCAGGCCCCCGTCGCCCCCCTCCCCGGCCCGGGTGTCCATAACGAGCCGTTGTCATTATGCATTCTGATGACATTTTCGCCGCTGTCTTTTGTGCGAGCTTATTTTAGCAGCGGCTAATTAAGAGCCAGCCAACTAGCAATGGAAATTCTATACAGCATATTAGTGTGCCAGTTGGATTGAGCGGGCTGCCCGGGCTGGGCATACCCCCAAGCGACTAAACGGAAGACAGAGGATGCTTTTGTGTTACTCCATGCAGCCGGTAGATGGCAGCATGTTCAATCTCAGTTTACAGCGGAATGAGCTAACTACAAAAGCTAGAGTCCAAAGAGCGGATGTATATTATTATAATCATATAGATATAGATAAGTCGCACATATTCAATATATACTATATCAATTTACTGAAGATATCGATAGAAGTTCATAGTTTGAGAAAGGTTTTTATTTGAAAATACTTTTAATTTATATTTGTTTTCCTGTTTTTTTTTTTTTTTTTTTTTTTTTTTTTTTTTTTCGAAATGTTATAAATAAAGGACAGCGCCAAAAACTTGGCAATGTTAAAATCGAATTGTCAACAGAAGTCTTGAGTTTTTATGAACAACTTATATAGTGAACTGATCAAAGTAAAAGATTTCTGAATAACTGAAGGAGTAA